GGGTCTGGTAAACAGAACACTGTGTGGTTTATCTGTGTAAGGAGTCGTGATCAGTGAGGTAATTATTTGTTTGTTGACTTGAGACGTAAGGTTGCACCAATCCCACGTTTTTCTCTCCAGATACTATTGACCCAACACTGAGCGTAGTGTCGACACCTAGACTGATTCGGTGTAATGGATCCGGTTAAATCTGGTTTAATCTGTTCATTTAACGAGAAAAATGAACGATTAGAGCCACAGTTGTTGTTTTTTTCTCGTGACCCAGATTCATCTTGAGTACCACTGCCCTGAACAACTCCTCAAGGCACCAAAACCCACTACCAGAGCCTGTGGTTTGGATTACAAATGTTAGTTTGAACCCTGCTATTTACCGTTTAGAGTCTCACCTAATTATAAGGCGAGCTTCTGTGAATGGATTGTTTCCAGCGCTTTCCAAGATGCCAATTTACGTCAACACTGTAGATGTTGGCATGCTGGAAATCCTCACTGGGTCCGGTCAGATCACAGGGTTTACCACTGTGTAGGTGTCACGCACTCCAGTCAGACTAAGGTATGGACGGTGGGGGGGAGATGATAGACCAGCAGGGCTGAACGGGGACAGAGGGGATGATTGATTGGCGCTCCAGCTCGCCAAGTTCAACGCACGATCCGTCACTGTCGCACTGAGCGTGAGCACACTAAAGAGAGATGGATCGCCTCGACGAGTGCCTTTTTAGTGTTTACGCTAAGTGGACGGATGGACGAGCGGAAGGATTCTTCTTTTTTTTTTTTGTCCATGAAAGAGACGTTAAAAAAACATTTGTTTAGATGTCTGATAAGTTAATAGAGCGGAGTGAAGGGCGGACTCATAGCTCCTGTTAAAAGCTATGTTTACATTCATTAAGGCCGTCTCTTGGGGGCAGGGAAACTGCATTACTTTCAGTTTGATCAATGTTGATTAGGGGTCAACAAACTCACGTATTGATTACCGGTCAGACTGAATTATGACATTACAGATATATCAACTCCGCCTTTTTAAAATCGAAAACTTGTTACTCTATAAATGGCCCAGTGTTACCGTCATTAGACGCTTAAGACGCAGTTTGGTTCTTAGTCATTCCAAACAATAAGCTCACGGTAATTCAAAGCTCCTCGACAAGAACGAGAGAGATGATTGCTTCCACGAATCAGTCAGTCTTTAAGTGAGTTCAGACAGAGTTTGTTGGCTGATGTATTTCAGCAGCAGACAGTCACAAGACTGATGACTTTGTAGGTTTTACTGGAGCGCTGCGGGCCTTAAACACAACCATGTTGAAGACACGTGTGAAAGCAGAGCCTCGGCGCTCGGAGCCTCAAGGCAACTCCAACCTGCACCAAAAACAATTAAGTTGTTAAAACTCCCTGGGGCTCCCCGACGGCCCATAAACAACAAAGTGACGCTCTTTTGTTGTCTCCCAGCCGACCACAGAGAGGCCCAGGGTCTCCTTCAAGCTGCAACCACTGCAGGGATGTTGGGTCGCTTTTATGCACAGCTCGCTAAAACGATTTAACCAGTAAGGCCAAAATGACAGATCCCTATCCATCCGTCACGGCTCAGCGGCTCTTACCGCTGTCCAAGTCCCGCACTGTTTATGTAAGCTTCGGCTGAGTGCGTCAGGGACAGGGCCGGAGGAGTCAGGTGCTCCTCTGGGGTAGATAAAGATAGCCAGGTGTGTTTAACTGCCCTCATCTCCTCTCTATCCCTATCTCTTACCGCCCATCCATTAGGGATCTGCCAGCTCCCTAATGTAGGCGTGTCGCCGCCCCATGCAGAGCGGTTATTTAGAGCTTAAAATAATGGCGATGCCCGCCTCCAGTCTTTGTGTTTCTGCAGCGATCACGGAGGACAATGAACCCCTCACAGTGCACGGACTAATGAATAAGCCCTCTCAGTCACACAGGAAGGAGGCCCTTGATGAGAGGAAGTGGAGGGAGAGGGGCTGTTGATGGGTTTAGCCAAGTACACACATCTCCTCTCATTCAGGAAGGGATGTTTTGCTTGGTAATCTGCTGCAGTGCCGTCACTGAGTAACCCTCCGGGCCGGGAATGAGGCGAGGTTTTGTTTTTTATCTTCGTGAGACATATCGACTGTGCCGTGTCACCTTCTACCACAATACGCTCCGCTGTTGCCCCACAACACGAGATAAGACTCGTCTCATTAAGCATTGAAATGACGCCACTTGTCTTCAATCTGATCCTCGCTCCGATAGCTTTCCAAGCAAGCGAGGTTCACGGTGGTTCAAGGGACCGTTTGCACACTCACCGCTTTTTTTTTTTTGCGATGATGCCACACATCATCGGCGAGAGAAAACACTCGGCCCCCTTTCCCTTTCAGCTGAGTTTTCCTCCCCCTCCTTTTACACTTCTCTATCTCCAGTCCACACAGTTTCACAAGCGATCATTACAGGTGACACACAAACTGAGTCAGGCCAGCGTATGTGGCACAGTGCCCTGATTTCGCACTCTGGCGTTACATAAAGGAAAGTACCGAGTGAGACGAGGACAACAGAGTCACCTCGACTGCGCACACACGCTCCCCTCGCACATCTCGACGAACTCGATGGCAGTGTGACTCATGCTTTCCCCGAGCGAACAGCCACATGTTTAAACCAAGATTCCTGACACATGAGCTCGGCTTAATACTACAGCCAAGCACTGCACAGTGTTATTGTTGGTCATCTGCTCGCTCACGTGCAGGAGCAGGAGTACTTCTTTAAGCTTTTCCTTTTCGTTGCTAGTTTAACTGTGGATGTCGGAGGCAAAAAGTAACATGCAGAAGAGAAATATAGAAATAGAAATAGAGCAGAATTGATAACGCACGGTATTTGTTTAGTTAGTCACTCGGGATGATTGTGGCAACTAAAGTCCTGCTTGGACTCGCCCAGCTTAGTTGAAATCTTCACAGTTACATCAGTTATGTGTGCTCGTCTGTTTTACAGATGCGGTTTTCAACAAGTAAATGTTTTCAGCACAGACAATAATAGCAGACGGTTGTATGAGGTGAACTGGGGAGAGGGAGCTACTGTTCATATCCTGTTAGTGCACTGGGGTGATTGGGGCCTGCATTCACACGAGCTCACCACTTCCTGATGAGTTAATGGCCCTCAGCTTTATTTCCTTTACAGTTTCCTGCAATTCCTTGTAGATCAAAGCTGATAGCGGGCTGCCGTGTCTTGCTCCATGTCTCCTGCAGGCGTCCGCCTTTTTTAGGACGGAGGATATATGAGCGACAAATCCACCGTTTATTCCCTTTGTCACTATGTTAGCTGTCGGGCTGAAGCCGGTCGCTGGAGCCGAAGGGAAGTAGTTTAAGTAAGTTTAAGTTTCACGTCAGTGCGCTTGCGGTTTTATTATGGATCGCAATTCCTTCCTCGGGGTCAGCCATCATGGTGCTAATGGTGATTAACGTGTTTCTTAATTAGCCAGATTCAAAACAAGCAGTGGAAGTGAAATAATTACTGGGGCCTCGGTCATGGGAGAAGTCAGATAAGTACATTTGTAGCTTAGTGAGTTGGCACAATCCGAGCACGATAGCAGTAAGTGACCAGTTTAAATGCATTAGATGTGGCTCCTAACTTGCCTCAAATTAGATTTTCCAAACTACAAGCTGTGCAGCATCCTGAGCATTAGAAACATTTAACAAACTACAGCCAGATGATGTTTTAACGGTTATTTCCAGGTCAAGTGGGGCCATGCAATATGGTGTCACGACACACGGCGGTCTTCAGATCACAGCAATCACTTGAAAATGACAAGCATAAACATAGCCTCAAAGTACAGAGGGGCCTTTGTGTGTGTGTGTGTGACCTCTCCCCACACACACACACAGTGCACATCACTTAACCATAAAATGACCTGTGCAAATGCTTCACAAACATGCAACTTTTTTCTAACTCTGAATAGCTCGGTTGCTCTGGAACGAGGCTCTGGTATGCAACAGAGGAATGCATGTGTGTTGGTGCTTGTGGTTCGGCAGTTGCAGGACAGTCGGGGGTTGCGTTAGCACCGTTGCAGATCCACTGGAGAAAAAAATGTAAGACTGCTATATGCGTACAAGCAGGTGCTGTGCAGTCGAGGGTTTGACCTTTAATTGCATTCACGTAATGACGGCAGAATGTGAACAGGAAAACCTCCCGTTATTCCAACTTTGTTGGCATATTTTTTTTTTACTTTTTTTGCTCCAAAATATGCTTTTTAGTATTAACCAGGGCTGTGTTAGTGCCCTTACAGTATTATTCTGCAAAGGGTTTGAAATGTGCTTCAAGTTTCCTGCTCCTGTCTCAAAGACCACTTTGTTGTTTTTTTTGTTGAAAAAAATAAATCGGAGCAAAGTTCATTTTCCAGACCCAAAACTGTACTTTGCTGTTTCTTACTGTTTGTTTATTCCAAACCTGCAACCCTCACATCTCCTCTGGTAACACACACACACACACACACACACACACACACACACACACGGTGTTTGACATGTCCAACAACAACATGTGACAATCATGTTTTATAGTTGGAAAAGCTCTGCTGCAGTTGAGAACTACTTAAAGAAGCATTTCACCCGTGGAAACATTCATCTTTATTGAAAGTGGGTTATATATGTAGTCCAAATGTAACATACATTTTGAATTTGGTGCCT